CGTGGAGGAAGAGTCGACGGTGTCGCGTCGTAGTCACCCGTGGTGGTGGTTGATAAAGTCGTAGGGCTCATTCACACGTAGCCACTCGGCAGCGCTTCTTAGTAGCACGTCAGTGGCGCTGCATATTTTTTTAGAAGCGCGTAAGTGGTGCCACTAATATTTTTAGAAGCGCGTTGGTGGCGCTACCAAAATGTTTAGAAGCACGTTAGTGGTGCTGCTAACGTGCGTCGGTAGACAATATTTGTGAACACAAGAGCACTACATCATTCTCAAAATGGACGTGGAAACTGAACTATTGTTGGCGATGCTATTAATTAAAAAAAAGAAACGTAAAAATACACCGAGAAGATTCTGGGTGAATCCATTGCTTCTAGAAAGACCGAACAAAGGATTATTTTATACACTGTTTGATGACTTGGAAGGAGATGATGAAAAATTCTTCTCATATTTTCGTATGTCGAAGAATACATTCAATGAACTTTTATCTGGTATCAAAAATAATATAACGAAACAAGATACTGTCATGAGGAAGTCCATTCCTCCGAATGAAAAACTAGCTTTAACTCTGAGGTAAGAATAATAAATTTACAATATTTAAAGTGTTATGCTTTATTATAAGAAATATACAACATTTGTTTGAAAATAAAGGAAATATATTTTCAAAATAAATATTAATATATCTAAACAAGATATTATATTAAATAAAAAACTGTAATAAAAAAATTAAATTAAATTAAATACCTTTTTTAATTCTTATAAACTAAAAAACAATTGTTAACATACTTTTAGAGAGTTACTTTTAAATTTTTAATTGCTAAATACATCATTAGATAAATCGCTTTGAACAGAGGATGCATCTTCGGGGCTATAAGTTGTAGGCCATAACTGGTCTTGATGCTGCGCTCGCGTTTGGTTCTGGTATACAGGTATTTCGATTCCAAATTCAGATTGCGTATTTAGGGGCCGATTTACGTTGGTCTGTATGGCAGGTTGTGCAGGTTGGCTTGAATAAGAGTTTATATTAAACTGTGGACGTATCGGATTCGGATGTGAGTACTGATTTATAGTGGTTAAAGGATAGAGCTGACCTGAAGAAGTAGCACAAGCTGTTTGTTTGGCAGACGCTATTAAATTCATCATTTGTGTCTTTACATTTAGTTTCATATGATCCGGTATAGATTGTAAATCTTTACATAGGGATAATAAAAATAATCGGTCTTCGTTTTCATAATCCAAACTTTTTTTTGTCTCTTGTTGATAATATTTTTTTTTTAGAACTTCCAAGAGATCTTCGTCAGAATGCCGTTTCTTAGGCTTTCCTTTATAGGACATTTTATTAATATTTTCTTCAGCTACTGCTTCAATTTCTTCTAAATTTCCTTCATGATCGCTCAACTCTATACTATCATCTGTAGGTTTTGTGGTAGTATCTAAAAATCTGAGTTGATCAAAAAATATGTATTTTTTTCGAAATTTTGTTGCAGAACCTGATTTCATATCAATCTTTTGCTTTGCCAATTCTCGTGTATATGAATCGCGTAGACTTTTCCATTTTCGCTGATATGAATTACCTGTGACATGAAAAAATCATTAGTTTAAATATAATTTTTCAGATATCTCGGGTCTGGATACACGATGAGCGATCTTCACATTGATTATCGCATTGGATTATCAACAATTTCCAACATTGTTCGAGAAGTATGCGAATCTCTCTGGGCCACATTCAAAAAAAGTTGTTTCCCTACAATCACGGAAGAACTAATAGCAAAAGTTGCTACAGAATTTGAAGAACGAGCTAATTTTCCATACGTTATTGGAGCCATCGATGGGAAACATATTCGAGTAATCAAGCCAGAGGGCAGTGCATCAATGAACTTCAATTATAAACATTTTTTTTCCATTCTCTTACTGGCAGCGTGTGATTCAAATTACAAATTTTTATACATTGACGTAGGAGCACCAGGAAAATCAAGTGATTCAACAACTTTTAAAAACTCAACGCTGTATAAATTGTTAAATTTTAACAAAATTAAATTACCACCACCCAAACCTCTTTCAGACAAAAGGTTAGACAAAATTCCTTATTTTTTAATTGGAGATGAGGGATTTGGACTTTGTCAATTTCTTCTGAGACCATTTGGTGGAAAATATTTGTCTGTGGGTAAAAAAGTATTTAATTACCGCCTTACAAGAGCCAGAAGATACATCGAATGCAGTTTTGGAATACTTAGTAATAAGTGGAGAATCTTACATCGTGCACTTAATGTTGAAGAAAGTTTGGCAGAAAATATAATTAAAACGTGCTGCCTTTTACACAATTTTGTGAGGGACAGAGATGGCATTACATTTGAGGATACTATCGCTATTAGTGGGTTGATTGAAGATACGACAGTGGACAATTCTCAACCAGGAAATGCAATCAAATGCGTTCGAACAGAACTTATTGATTTTTTTATGAAAGAGGGACAAGTATCGTGGCAAATGGAAAAAATATAAATTTATTTTATTTTATTCACTAGTTTCTGTATTTCTATTATCATTATTATTTTTTTTTTGAATTTATGATATTACAATTAAGTATTTTTCAATAAATGTAATTTTTTTCTATAACTGTGGTATTGCTATAAATAACTATTATATTAGTCGGGTACCTATAAGAAAAAATGTGCCTCAAATGTACTTAAGTTCTGCGCACGCCTATGTATACGTGTAATTTGTTTCAATATGATAATAAACGATGTTCTACTTACCAATTACTTTTTTCTCAGCCTCAGACATATTATTGAAATTGGGAACAAATTTACTTATAACTGCTTCCCATGCATTGCGTTTTGCATTTTTATTGCTGTAGTCGTCATGCTTTAGGTCCCAAATTGCGGGCCAGTTTTCTATTTCACTGATGAAATCTTCAATATTAATGTTTGCACAATCAGATGTCATTGTTTCAAAATATAAAAAGAGATATAATAACATTGACAGGACACAGCACTTGGGCTGACAAATAAATACTGAAATTAAAATGATAATAATTGAAATCATTTGATCAAACATCACGGATTAATCGCGCTACTAACGCGCTACCAACGGGCTGCAAAAATAGTCGCGCGATTGCAGTCACGTGTGAAACCCCCAATCTAAAAATACGTTCTGTTACAAGAAGCGCGACTTTTAGACGCCGCGTTCTGCGGCGAAGCCAGCCACTGACACCGTCTGTGGCGCTTTAAATTAGAGGCCGTGGTCGTATGTGAAACCATCTAAATAAACTAATGTTTATCCATCAGCAGCGCTGCTAAGAAGCGCTGCCGAGTGGCTACGTGTGATGGAGCCCGTAGACCGATCGCGGCGGTGCCTGTACTTTGTACTGGCTGCTGCTGAGTACCGTGTCATGATGATGGTAGAATGACTGAGTTACAGATTTGAGAGACGTCGGCGTTGTTGACAATAGCGTCTCGCAGGTGAGTGTATTCTTCCGCACGAAGATTTTTTTGATTGAATTGCAAGTATCGTAATTGTTCGCTCTGTATCTTTACATACATGTCGATCATGAATTGTTGACAAAGCTCACGACATCGTAGAGTAACGTTGTCCTCATCGCGTCTAATCATCAACCGATATGCATAATAATCCTTCGAACGAACATTCTTGTTTGTTTTGTTACCTGTTGCAGGATCTTGTTTAATATTTATTCATTACCCGTCTTGTCCCTTCCAAAACATTAGCGGATATTGGGAAGCGTCATATGAACGGTGTAAATCAGCAATGAACTGTAGATGATTATTTCTTCTACGAATCACGATTTCTCGTTTATCTGTACGGTCGCCAACCATGATTCTGCGAAGTCACAATATATGGCATTGTGTACCTATATTTTTTATTTACGGGTTGTTATGACTATAACTACCTTCACACCTGCAGTTACCTATTAATAGTTTTTAAATCTATTATTCGTTGAATAATTGTTAGATATTCACCTACAATTAAAAAATGTTTATTATTATCTAAAAGTGGTTTGACACGAATAAAATGTCTATTATTTATTATTAAATTAAAGGTTTTTTTTATCTACAGTGGAACCTCGATAAGTCGAAAACCTTGATAAGTCGAAAAAAATTCTGTTCCCTTGCGAAAACCTCGATTACTCGAAAAAAAAACTATAGATAACTCGAACATATTGTGATATTGTGCTCCGAATATAGACGGATAATGACGGGTATTTTTCATTTGTATCGGTATTGCCAGTTGCGATCGATCGATTACGCGTGTGCGGTAATTTTATCTAATCGCGTTTATTGTGTTTATTACCTAACTAACCTCGGCACACAAAAGTTTTTCATTTGTATCGGTTTTGCCAGTTGCGATCGATCGGTTACGCGTGTGTGGTGTTTGCATTAAAAATGCCTCGTAATTTAAAAACGCTTACTATTGCAGAAAAACAAAAGGTTCTTGAAGTAGTGAAAAGTGGAAGGAAGAAGAAGGAAATCGCCGAAGAATTTGGAATACCAGCCAGCACACTATCTACCATAATAAAGAATAGTAAAGAAATTGATTTAAACTTTCCAACAGACCGAAAGAGGAAGAGAGGCCCTGATTTTTCAGACGTAGAAGAATGTGTAGTTAAGTGGTTTAAGCAATGCAGAGATGCCAATGTCAGTATCGGAGGTCTTATTTTAAAAGAAAAAGCAGAAAATTTCGCAAAGTCATTAGGCCACGAACAATTTAAGGCCAGTAACGGGTGGCTTGAAAATTTTAAAAAACGACACTGTATTGCTTTTAGAAAAGTCTGTGGTGAAAGTGCAGCTGTCAGTGATGATGTTGTAAATGAATGGAAAATAAATTTGAGTGAGCTACTGGAAGGATATAAACCATGTGATATATTTAATGCAGACGAAACTGCACTTTTTTACAAATGTATGCCAGATTAAACTTTAACATTCAAAAATGAGAAATGTAACGGTGGTAAACATTGCAAAGAACGACTCACACTATTATTGGCTGTTAACATGACTGGTTCAGATAAACTGAAACCTTTAATAATCGGAAAATCGAAAAAACCTAGGTGTTTTGCTGGTGTTAAATCTTTTCCCGTTGACTACACAGCAAATAAGAAGGCATGGATGACTAGTGAATTGTTTGCGGAATGGCTATTACGAATAGACAAACAAATGAAAATACAAAAACGTAAAATTTTATTGTTTATAGACAATTGCCCGGCTCACAATATTATACCGACTTGTCAAGCTGTAAAAGTAAAATTTTTACCGCCAAATACTACTTCAAAATCGCAACCTTTGGACCAAGGAATCATTAAAACGTTCAAGACTCTTTATAGAAAAGAAATAGTGAGGAAAATTATAAGTGATATGGATGACGAAAAATCTACAGTAATCGATATTCTTCAAGCTATGCGCATTGTTGATAAAACGTGGAGAAACGTAACAACGACAACAATCGTGAACTGCTTTAGATCGTGTGGATTTGTACTTGAAGCTGAGAAAGACGACACATTGATGCCTATAATCGAAAATACTGATACGGATGACAGAGAATGGGCGCGGATAACAAGTCGTTATGGAATCGCAGAAGAAACCTTTGATGATTTTGTTGAAATCGACAATGACGTTGCCATTTCTGGTATTCTGACAGACGACGATATAACTGACTCCGTTCGTGGCACTGAAGATGTTGATGACGTCGAAGAAGTATCATCTGAGCCTGTGCATCGTGTTTCAATGAAGCAAGCAGCAGCAGCACTAATATTGTTAAGGACATTCACCGAACAATTGAGTAATGTGGACGATAAAGTGTACGCTGCTTTAAATGTAGTTGAAAATACTATTGATAATAGCAAATCTCAAATTTTTAGTCAAAGTAAAATAATAAATTATCTATTGTAAAGTTGCAACACATGTTTTATTATATTTTTTTTGTGATGATTTTTTTAAATTTAAATAACCTACATAATCACATTTGTTTACATTGTATTAAATACTACATAAAAACTTTAATACATACATACATTTTAAAAACTCTTTAAGTCGAATTTTTTTTCTAAAACCTTGATAGCTCGAAAACCTTAGTAAGTCGAAACCTCGATAAGTCGAAAAAAATTGCATTTCCCTTGAATTTCGACTTATCGAGGTTCCACTGTAATTATTAATTTATCATTTTAGTTTTTATATATTATATAATATTATATACGATTGGTATATTACATATTTTTTAGCTAGCTCATTGCAGAAACATGTGATGATAGTGTGGATATGGCGACCATAATAACAATTAAATATATAATTATATAAGTAAATATATCGTTACTGCACATAAAATAAAAATAATGTAAATTTCCGTTGTAAACGAAAAGGAATAATTATTATTATGTGGCTCTTTACATTTACTTTTATCGGTCTCATAAATAATTTGTACAGTACCAATATGTGCCAGTCCTCATGCAATGATGGCGGGTGTGGGTACACCAACGAAAATGGTATTTACAGATGTGACTGCTCAATTTCCAAGGGAATTCAAACGGGAAGCGAATGTGAGATGTATGTGGATGCATGCGAAAAAATATCGCGATGTGAGAACAACGGCAAGTGTGTCACTTCGATGGGGTATTGGTATTGCGATTGCCCAAATAATTATTATGGGATGACCTGCAAGTATTACAACAGTGAGTATGTATGATACATTTAATTATTTATTTATTTACATTTATAGAAATAGGATAACGAGATAAAACCCAAGTAGACGTAGTATGACAGAAATAAACTAATTTATTAAATACTAAATACAATGATCAATGTTATGTATAAATTACTATTGAATATAGATAGTACAGAGAGACCATTTCGCCCAATGTCGCCCTGGCACACCAAAGGCTCATGTATCAATTTTTTTAAGGGACCCCATAATGAACGGCCTTCGGCCCTATAAAAAAAAATTGCACCTAAAAATAACGTACTGTTAAATTTTTTGATAAATACTTTACGACGTATCTACTCACTATATAGACTAGGAACACTAAAAACATTTAAAAATTAACGAGACTCTAAAGAAAAAAAACCGATGGACTTTGGGCATGTTTATGGTCCATCGGTCATGGTGAGAGCGCCAGACTGGTAATGAATTCTCCCTTATATACCTACGAGTATTATAATATTAATATTCAGAATATATTAATAACTAGCTAATTCCGTGCACTTCGTAGCCCGTTAAAAATGCAAACTCTATATGAGACTCGCTTGCGATAAAATAGTATATAGTATATTATCAAGTAGGCATATTCTATACGAATAATAATTAAATTTGATAGTGGACCACCGATGAGCGGCCATAAGTGCAACTCAGTCACCTTGGTAGGCTGTGTGAACAAATTCGATTTGATGCATGCAAACTTGATCTGCCCAATTAATAAATGGCAACCAAAAATTTAAAAATAATACTAACTAAAAATTAAGAAATGTTCGCTATTTTAACTGAAAATTAGTTCTTAATTAAAATAAACATGCAAATTGTATACTTAAACTTAACCCAACACTGCATAATTTTTTTTTTTTCAACATTTTTTTTTTACTTTCTTATACCTTATAAATACCTTAAAAAATGAAAAAAAAAATTTATAAATATTTGCATTTTAGGATAAGAATTCGCAATTGTGCCATATATGGCACAACATACGAATAAAGTTAAATTTATTAGTAAATTTATATTACTACTTCTTTGTAGCAAAAACGGTATAATTATATATTTTTATATAACATCAATTATAATTAAATTTTAAAAAAAAATACAGAAATCAATATTGTTGATGAAAAGACAGAAAACAATTATTTTTTTGATTTAAACATAAATACACGTCAAACTTAATGCACTTGACTAATGATTTTTTATTGCATTTTTCATTTTTGCACCTTTCTCTGTTGTCCCCAACTTTAGGAAAGAGAGAGAAGGAAGGAGAGACATATCTAATAAGTGGTAGAACAGTTTGAAATACCACTTTTCACTTCTCATAGCGATTCTGCATCTACCAATTATGGAATCTAGAAGGTCAACAAATCCCATGTGTTTATTATAGACCTGAACTACTTTTGGACACTACTGGAATTCTTTTCTTTAATTTTTTGTCAAATCTTTGTACTTCTGATATTGGATCTTTTCCAACAAATGTAGATAAAAGAGATACCGTTTTATTGTCTTTCCACTGGATAGCAGTGATAGGTATTCCATCTACTCCAGCTAAACATTCAGCTGAAAATCCTCTTGGTTTTTTTTTTTCATTTCATTTTCATTTGGAAGAAGAAGCCCTGGTATTCTATTTTTGCGCAATGTTCCTAAGCAATGTATATTTTTTTTAGCGATTTCAACCATAACCGCTAGCGTTGTGTAGTAATTGTCAAAATGTAGTTTATGATTGATATTTTCAGGTATACATCTTGAAAGTCTCATAACAACATTTGCGCACGCTCCAAGATTAGGTTCGGATGGCAATCTTTTTTCCGAGTTATTTTCCAAACCGGTATAGACTTCAAAATTGTAAGAAAATTCTGACACGCCACATAAAACAAATAATTTATACCCCCATTTATGAGGTTTTAGAGGCATGTACATTTTCAAAAAACTTCGTGATTTGGTTGGACAAATTTGTTCGTCAATTGATAAGTTTTCTTCTAATGGTATACTTTTACACTTTTCTTGTAAATAAGTGATGAGTGGTCGAATTTTGTGAAGGTGGTCATGTTCAGGATTTTCAGCAGGTAACATTTTATTGTTGTCATTAAAATGCAAATTTTTTCGAATTTCTTCAAACTTGTTTACACTCATGGTATTTTGAATTATATTATTACCTATGGTTTCATTCCAAAAGCTTCTTGAATTATTTAAATTAATAATTGACATCATCACTAAAATACCTATGAACTTTTTTAAGTCATCCAAAGATATTTTTGAAGGCTTATTTACATTTTTGCCAATACTAAATTGAATAGTTTCATAAAGAATTTTTTCTAATAAAATATCGTCAAAAAAATATTTGAAAAATTCTAATGGAGTGTATAATTTTTTTATTTCGGGTGGTAAGTCCGTATTTCCAGAAAATTTAATAAACTGCTCATTCATAATCAAATTTCCATTTTTCCAATCTACATTTGAATATACCTTTACCGGTGAAATAGGACGTTTATTTGTTTTTTTATTGTTGGAAATGCCTGGAAGTACTCGTTGAGTTTTTCGGCGATACGCTGGAGACTTACTTCTTTCTTTTTCAACAGCTATATCGTTTTGTACATTCAAATCAATATTTTCCTCAATATTAGGATGTAAATCGACTTGAAATACATCTAAATCTTCTAGTCCGTTTAATAGTTCGTCATCTGATAGAAAATTGTCACAATTATCATCATCGCTATCGATCGGAATATCCAACGCGTGTAAAATCTCGTCAATATTATTTGAAATATCGTCCATATTTACACAGATTCAATAAGATATAATTATTATTTATTGTAAGCAAAACGTTAATTATAACAAAATTAAATTTTAAAAAAATCAAAAAAGGAACGCACATGAAAAACCGTTTGCGAAACCAGGGCCGGCTCAATGTGGTAGCAAAATAGGCAGCCGCCTAGGGCGGCACTAGTGTGGGGGCGGCAAATTTCGAATGAACCAAAGTGATTTAATTATTATAATATAATGTAGTATGCTGAATTGTATGTTCATGGTTCAAAATATACAAAAATAAATGTGTAATAACTAATAATAATATACTATTGATACTTTGTTTACCGAGAACGTAACCAAATGTAGCTGTAGCACTTCACATTATTTTAACTATGCTTGTGTCGGTTGCATCTGGTGAATGGAGCTTTTCCAAATTAAAAATAATTAAAAACTATTTGAGGTCTTCTATGAATCAAGAAAAGTTAAGTGATCTTGCTACAATTCCTATTGAAAAGAAGTAATGGAAAACCTGGAGTTTAAAAATTTACCGACTGATTTTGCCCAAGAAAACGCTCGCAAAATTAATTTCATTTAATATATTTTTAATTGTGTAGTTACATATTTTTTAATGCTTAATTAAATACATATTGTTGATCTATGAAAATGATACTGAATGAGTGACGATGGTCAAAAATATTACTTGTTCTATTTCATACCCAACATTTATATTAATTTTATTATTATTATTTTATATTTTGTAAAGAAAACTGAGGTCAGTCAAAACATTTTTTTTTTTAAAACAAAACAAGGGTTTATAGTTAAAAATAAATGTCCATATTTTATTCAACCCCCTCCGCTCAAAAAAATTAACTATTGCATATAGGGCAGCGTAAATTAGATTTGCCTAGAGCGGCAAAAGACCTACGGCCGGCCCTGTGCGAAACGCATGTAACCACCGGATACGCGATACAAATGACTTATAAAAACAATTAATTTTTTTAGAATGCTTGCATAGTGTGCCATATATGGCACAATAATATGATTTATAATATACTTTGATTAAATAATGATAATGCTAATCAAATAATAAAAAATTAAAGAAGACGTAATTCCCTGTTATTTAATAATTTACAAATCATACGAACGGTTATTTTTCTATTTTTTAACAATATCGTTGTTATGGGCTGTACGCGTTTTTTTAATCGATGACTGCCACATTATTTTATCCACATTAATCAACTATCGCCAGATTTTAATAAAATTGATTTTTTAAATGATCAAGATGTATAGAATTATATTGTTCAATAGATGGCGTATTTTTTGTAATTATACTACGATTTTTCATCGTAAATAATAATTGTACCGTATATCATGCACATGATCCATGATCATGGCACATCATGCAGTGTAGGGTTAAACATATTGTACGACATGGAGGTCTATTTGTTTCCAGCTACCTGCAACCTGACCTTTTGTCTATCAAATGTGTTTAACTAGCTGCATCCGAGTTGGGTCCCAAATTAAAAGGGTGGCTACTAATTGCGTCCCGCGGTAAAAATTTCTTCCGAATTGAGGCCCGAGTTTTTTTGGGGTGCATACCAATTGCGGCCCGAGTTTTTTTGGGTTATATACGAATTGCGGCCCGAAATTTAAAATTTAATTAATTTAAATTTAAAAAGCTTAATTTTCCTTCAGATTTTTATACAAACTTAAGACTGTCTGTAGCATCAGTAGATACTGCAGATAGGTTAACAATGATGTTTTGTTTTTATTTAAACATATCGGCACAGGTAAAAACATATATGATATTTCTAAAGGTTAAAAAGTTTTTTGGCATTAAAATCTGATATTAAAATGTTTTTTTTTTTATTAAAACATTTCGGCACTGGTAAAAATTTGCATGATAGTATTTGTATGAATTCAAATTTGTCAATTTGGTTTTTTTTTTACTGTTTCATATCATTTCTAATAAATGTTTCTTTTTCAATTATATTTGTTCTGCGAGTATTTAAGTGAGTGTTACTTAATTTTATATAGGTATCCTTCTCTACATTTTGCAGAACATCGATGAATATAAAAATATTAGGATAAGCACTGTAGAACAAAGCGTTGAATTCCGAATGAAAAGCCTCACAACTATTAGTAGACGCCGAGTATTCTGCCCATAAAAAAGGAAGGAAATTGGACTCGTTTGAAATGTATGTTTCCAATATATAATCGACAAATATTTCTACTTTTTCATTTCTTGGTTGAATAGCCATTATGTAATCTGTAAAACAGTCACTCACAACGT